ATTCCATTAACATCTTTTTAAATGTAATTTTAATTTGTCATGTAAATGAAGAATATTGTATGTTGAGTCCACAAACCAAGGTTCATTAAAACTTTCTGAACCATAGTTTCCTTTCTTGGTTTATTAATTACTTCATAGTATTGAAAAATAAATGATTGACTTGAAATAAATATAATTCCATAAATGTAAATAATAGCCTTCTATTAGTGCTTACCTTAACTTACACATGTTTGCTCTATATTTATCGCATACAAGTTTGGAGCTATTCAACAGACACATAAGATTATTTTTATCAATTTGTATATAAAGGAAATACGTATGATATATGCTATTTTCAAAAATTTGAACTGACAGCCCTAGCTGGGTTGGCTCAGTAGATAGAGTGTTGGCCTGCAGACTCAAGGGCCTGGGTTTGATTCTGCTTAAAGGCACATGCCCAGGGTGCAGGCTTGATCCCCAGTAGGGGGCATGCAGGATTCAGCCAATCAGTGAGTCCCTCTCATCATTGATATTTCTATCTCTCCCTTTCCCTTCTTCTCTGAAATAAATAAATAAAAATACATATTTTTTTAAAAAGTTTTAACTGACAACATAATTTCACAATTGGACCAGTAATTAACAGAAAATTGTTTTCTTCACTGCTTGATGCTGAACTTGATAGAAATGCTTTCTTTTCCAATGTTTTCTTGACCTTGAAAATTACTTATGTTTGTTTATATGTAAACTAGGACCCAGTGCACGGATTTGTGCACCTTGAAAGGAACTGTGGGCCACAAGGCTGGTAGGCAAAGGGGCAGGTCTCGGCCCATTCTCCATGCCCCCCCCCCAGCTACTCCTGCTGTGACCTCCTGTACCCTGTATGCCAGCAGCCCCCCCCCTTCCTGCTGCCTCCACTCACACCCGCTGCAGTGCAGAGACATTGAGGCTGGTGCCAGCAGTGAGTACGAGTGGTGGCTGCTGCCCTCATAGCCCCTCAGGAGCAGAGGGAGGTGGAGAATCCCACAGGGGCGATCAGAGCCAGCAGCCGCCACTCGCATCTGCTGATGGCACCAAGTGATTGGGACTGGTGCCGGGCACTGGCAGCGGGTGCGAGCAGCAGCTGCAGTGCCAGCTGTGGGTGTGAGTGGGTACAAGTGGTGGATCCGGCGCTGGTGGCAGGTGCAAGTGGGGTTGATGCTGACTGCACATGTGATCACTAGGTGGGGACCACAGCACGTGGGAGCAAAGAATTTTCAGTAACCACCAGAGGCTCACACTGACGACAGCGACCGGTGTCCCGCCTTGGTCTGGTGCCCTCACTCACCTGCTCCACTATTCCACTGCACGGCCAACACCTACTATGTTCCGCGCACGCCCCCTGGTGGTCAGCACACATCATAGCGACCAGTTGTTCGGTTTGGTTGTTCTTGATGTTCTGCCATTCGGTCTATTTGCATATTAGCCTTTCATTATATAGGATTATATATGCCAGCAGCCCCACCCACTCCTGCTGCCCCCTCTCACACCTGCTGACAGTGCAGAGCCATTGAGGCTGTAGCCAGCAGTGGGTGCGAGTGGCGGCTGCTGCCCCGATAGCCCCTCAGGAGCAGGGGGAGATGGAGAAGCCCTCAGGGGTGATCAGCCCTCAGAAGGTCCCAGGTTCAATTCTGGTCAAGGGCACATGCCTGGGGTTTGCTGGCTGGGTCCCCAGTAGAGGACATGCAGGAGGCAGCCGGTCAATGGTTCTCTCTCATCATTGATGTTTCTATCTCTCTCTTCCTCTCCCTTCCTCTCTGAAATCAATAAAAATATTTTTACAAATTAATTAATAGAAAGTGGTAAACTACTGTATTCTTCATAAATTATAGGTGTTTTCTATAGTAGCTCTGTTATAAATTATTACAAGAATCAAATTGTGAAATATTATATAATGGGTCAAAATTATTTTTATAGCTACCAGTATAAGGATCAAGCATGTGGGTTCTTATTAATGTACCATTAGCCTGGTCACACAAAGAAAGAGAATGAAAGGGCAATTATGAATGACATTTCTGTCAACTTTGGACTGTCAACCTCTATTATGTCCTTAGGCTTTTCACTTTTTGGACTTCAGACATCATGCTGCCTCGAATGGAGAATATTAAGAACTCCAGTGGATCTCTTGCTCTCGTCATTGCTTTGGGTAGTCCTTTTTCAGTATGCTTATGTAATAGTTCTTAGTGCTAAAAGCACAGCCAGTGACCTTTCACCCCATCAGCACCACAACTGCATCATCTTCAGGGACACCACCATCCTCTCTCTACACACACTCACCATTTCCTCTGAGCTGGTAAATCTCTGTAGCAACTCTGTGAACATACTCGCTCCTCTCTTTTCTTTCTGCACAGTCAAGTGGAACAGCCACCTTCAGTTTCTCTAAGCATCCCCTCAAAACTTCGGCAAGAGTTGTGATGCTGTCAGAGGAAGTTTTCAGGCTGTCATGACAAAAGCTAGTGGTTTCACACAGAAGGTAGTGAGCAGGTGCGATGTTTGATGGGGGAACAGTGCCTCAACTATTTACAGCTGCATCGTAAACAGTCAATGAAGCTCCCTTCTGACAGGATATTTTGGCGGAATTTCAGGGAGAAAATGTGGATTCTAGTCCTTATTGTCTCACCGAATCTCAGTAGCATTTATTTTATTATGCACATGCATATTTTTATTTATTATTATTAGCATATAATGCTATGTTCTGATAAAAAAGATTAAGGATTGAGCTACTATTACATCATTTTTAATGTTACCTCCTTATACTGAGGAAGTTTTTTAAAGGGGTTTGAAGCCAATACGCATATATTTTAATAATCTCCCTGTATATTATATAAGACAGTGTCACTCAAACATTAGTGTGCATCAGAATCACCTGGGAATGCTTGTTAAAACACAGACTGCTGGAACCCACCTCCGAAGTTTCTAAGGATAAAGAATTTGCCTTTCTAACAAGTTCCCAGGTGGTGCTGGTGGTGCTAGTCCACAGACCACATTCTGAGACAGAGTCATTCATACTGGAGGAGAGTAAAAAAGGGGAAACAGTACCCCTGGGTTTCTGTCAACCATAGTATCATATATATGGATTTTGGCTGACCAGCCCAACTAAATGTTCAAATTGAAAAATGGAGGGATGATTTGCCCCAGTACTTCTAAAAAAGCTAAAGTAAACTTTTCAAAAATATATTAAGCCAGTCATGGAATTATCTTGCTTCACTTTTTTACAAAATTCTATGAATCCATAAAAATTTGGTATAATGGTCATTAACTTATTATGCATCTAACATGACCCCAGATTGCCATTGAATTATCTCATGGATTTTCAGGTAACTGTTCTTTTCTCTGAAACAGAAAATAGAATTAAAAAAAAAAAAAGTTAGCCATTTTCCCTAGCCTATTCATAGGTTTCGTAAGTGCAGCTAACAATAAAATCTAACAATAAACCAGTTTAAAATATAAATTAGAAATAGATGTTATATTACACCATTTTACCATTTTTATAAAGTGCCTTGTTCCAGTGTTTTTTAGTAAATATATACATAAAATTTTGTATGCATTAATTAACATGTTTATTAACAGGTTTCAATGTCACACCATTTGATTCAAACTGTTGCAATTTTGACAAGTTATCCTGCTACTACTAGTAGATATTTTATGTACCTAACTCTTGAAGATTAAACAGTAGCTAAGTGGAAACTATATATATATATAT